ATTGGAGATAAGAGTCTCATGGACTTTCCTGCCTGGGCTGGCTTTGAACTATGATCCTCAGATCTCAGCCTCCTGAGTAGCTAGGATTACAGGTGTGAGCCACCAGAGGCTATCCGATTTTGATCCTAATACTAAAAGGAGATATGCACTATTGTGCTGGGTTTACAGACAAGGAATTGATACACACAGTGTTCAAGGCTTTAATCAGACTTTTATTACTGTAACCAAATACCAGAGAAAAACACTTAAAGGGATGAAGAATTTATCTTGCTTCACGGTTTCAGAGGTTTCAGTCTTTCACAGTAGGGAGAGCATGACCAAAGCAGGATAGCTATATCCTAACAGCCAGGAAGAATTAAGAGGGGCAGAGAAGGGAGAAGAGAAAAGAGGGGAGGGGAGGAGAGAGAGCCCCTAAGGCCCTTCAGTGACCTACTTCCAACTAGACCCTACCTCCTCAAGTTTCCAGAGCCTCCCAAAATTTTGCATAGCCAGCTGGGTGGGGACCAAGGTGTTTTTTGTTTTGGTTTTGGGGTTTTTTGGGGTCCAGTTGTGGGGCCTGAACTCTGGGCCTGGGCACTGTCCCTCAGCACTTCAGCTCAAGGCTAGCACTCTACCACTTGAGCCACAGTGCCACTTCCGGCTTTTTTTCCCCCCTGCTTATGTGGTGCTGAAGAATCGAACCCAGGACCTCATGCATGCAAGGCAAGCGCTCTACCACTGAGTCACCTTCCCAGCCCAGGACCAAGGTTTTGAACAGTAAGTCTATGGATATGTAACAAGTACCTTGCTTACGGAAGGTGTAGCTGTGATTGGCACTCAAACAGCTTGACTGTATACTTGAGCTCTTGGTCACAAAGACAGAGGGCAGCAGGATCTTCTGTGAGGCCTTGGGTTCTCAGATGAAGATAAGGGTAAGGAGGGCATAGCAGCAATGGCCCAAGAAAGTTGGTGTCTATCTCCTCAGATATTTAAATTGGTATCTAAGCATTTTTATCACAAATTTCAATCGTTATCATAGATGTACATTCAGGTAAATCATAAACACTGACATTTTAAGATAAAATGGTTAAATCACTTTATACAATGTAACCATTAGAATCTACAGAACAATAACCAACTTCATTCATTAGTGAGCTTTATCATCTCTAAGTTATATTCAGGTTCTTTTTTTGTGTGTGAGCTCATCATACTGAGGCTTGAACTCAGGGGTTCTCACTCTTATTTGGCTTTCTGCTCAAAGTTGGTGCTCAATCACCTGAGTCACAACTCACAACTCCATGTCTGGCTTTTGCTAATTAATTGGAGATAAGCATCTCATGGACTTTTTTGTCTAGACTGACTTTGAGCCACAATCCTCAGATCTCAATTTCATAAACTAGGATGAATGTTTATTCTTACTGCTAAATCAACAGGGTTCTTTCTTCCTTCCTTCCTTCCTTCCTTCCTTTCTTTCTCTCTCTCTCTCTTTTTCTTTCTTTTTTTTTGGGGGGGTGCCTGAACTCTGAGCCTGGTCACTGTCCCTGAGCTTCTTTTGAAGCTCAAGGATAGCACACTGCCACTTGAGCCACTGTCCAGTTCTAGCCTTTTCTGTGTTTGTGGTACTGAGGAATTGAACCCAAGGCTTCATGCATATGAGGCAAGCACTCTACCACTAAGCCACATCCCCAGCCCTGAAAGTCAATTAAAAGTCGTCTTTTTTTTGTGTGTGTGTCATGGGGCTTGTCATTTTAATTTTAATTCCTGTTTGTTTTCTTAGAACAAGTGCTAAGAAATACTATTCAAAAACTAAGTAGATGAGAATGCTAGTAATTTTGTTTTTGTAATGTCAATTCTTTGGTTTCTAAGTACTATTCCAAAAATCAAATCACGTCCTTTATAACCTGACAAATAGTTCAGGTCCACCACTGATTTTGCTGAAAGCAAAAGAACTGTTAAAAATCTGTCTTGTGAAGGAATGCATGCTGTGACTAGTTAACATTAACTTCTCAAGTTATCTAATTATACAGATTACTTTCTCTTAGAGAGTGAAAGTCCTATAGATTGAAAATTTTGAGATGCTCACTTAAAATGTTTTAAAATTAAAAATCTAGCAATACAATCAACACCATAACTTAAAAATATCTAATTATAGCTATTTATAATAAATAAATATGCAAAGCAGCAACACCAGTCTAGAACCAATTACCTAAATTAGACTTACTTTGGGTTATAAAAATTCTGACAGGAATGGAAATGTGGCTTAGCAGTAGAGTGCTTGCCTAGCATGCACGAAGCCCTGGGTTCAATTCCTTAATAGCACATAAACAGAAAAAGCCAGAAATGGCACTGTGGCTGAAGTGGTAGAGTATGAGCCTTGAGCAAAAGAAGCTCAGGGAGCTGGGTGTCGGTGGCTCACGCCTGTAATCCTAGCTACTCAGGAGGCTAAGATCTGAGGATTGTGGTTCAAAGCCAGCCCGGGCAGGAAAGTAGTCCATGAGACTCTTATCTACAATAAACCACTAGAAAACCAGAAGTGGCAGTTATGGCTCAAGTAGAAGGCTCCACCTTGAGCTGAAGAGCTGAGGGACAGCGCCCAAGCCCAGAGTTCAAGCCCCACGACCAACCCCCCAAAAAGTCTGATTTTGGGTTTCAAGTAAAATAAATATGTTAATACTTATTAAATACTAATATTTATGATTAAATATTAACATATTTATTAACCTTTATCCCATTGACCACATTTCACTTGTTAATTTCAAGTCAAAAATGATAAGGAGCCTTTATATGTTTGTCCCCCAGATAAAACAGATTTTTGTTTCAGTATTTAAAAAAACAAACAAACAAAACGAAGGTTCCATTATGCAGCCCAGGTTATGCTTTCAACTCTTCTGCCTCAGCCCCTGGAGGGCAGAAATGACTGGTGTGAACCAGCACACCTGGCTGGTTTAAGACATTTCTGGCTTTCTTGTTCTTGTCTTGCTCCATATCATACACAGGCAAAATGTCACCTTTGACTTCATCTTGGGGTGGATCAGATGAGAGCTAATGAAAGTTCTTGTCACTACTGCCATTCTCTTCATTAATATGCCTTAAGTCAAAACATCCTAATACACACCCCATCGGAAAGACCTCCTTTTGCAATTATCATTCTGATGCACCTACCGCCGTTTGAACAGCCGAGTTAAAAGATAGATAGATATTTTTAGAGTAGGGGCTGTGACGTCCCCTTCCTTCCCTGCTACTTCAGGCAGTATATGTGCCTACCAGTGCAGCCTAGGCGGCGAGGGATGGAAGAGAACTGTGACCCTGGAAGTTAGAAAGCCAAAACTCGGATCCGAAACGCAGCTCTGGGAGTGGGAAGGGAGGGGGAACAATGATGGAGCGACACCGCTCAGAAACAGGAGGGGCCGGAAGTCTGCGTCTGGGCTTGGGCTCTCTTGGGACCGGAAGTGAGGACGGAGGGGCTGGCCCCGGTCTAGCAGTAACTGCGGAGCTGTACGGAGCGTCTGCGCGGGGAAGAGTGTGTTTGTGACACTGCCGGCGGCGCTGGGAGGGCGCGATGGGGGCGGGCGATGGAGGAGGCACTCGGAAGGGACCCATATCGCTGCGACACCGCGGGGACTCCGTCAAGGGCCGGCCGTGCGTCAGGCGCCGGCGCACGCTGAGGGAGCCGGGGCTGGGGTGGCCATGGGACCGTGGGCGTCGCTGGACGCGCTGTGGGAGACGCCGCCCGAGAAACGGATCTTCGGGGCCGTGCTGCTCTTTTCCTGGACGGTGTATCTTTGGGAGACCTTCCTAGCGCAGCGGCAGGTGAGCCTGGACTGGGCCCACCGGGCCCGGGACCCGGGACCTGGGATTCGGGATTCGGGACGGTCCGGGGCCAGCCTCGCCCTCGACCCCACAAGACCCTACTGAGCGCCCCGACTTGTCCAGATGGTGGCTGTGGATTGTGTGTGTGTCTGGAGGGGGGAATCCTTGGTATCTCAGGGAAGCTATCCCCCATGTTATCGGGGGGACCCCTCGACTGTTAGGACCCGCAGGAAGGGAAGGGCTGCCCTGTCTGTTCCACAGCCTCGCGGGACGGATCCCGGGGCCCAGGCCAAGCTATATATATCTATATAGATATATAGATATGAGCCGAGCGCCGGTGGCTCACGCCTGTAATCCTAGCTACTCAGGAGGCTGAGATCTGAGGATCGTGGTTCAGAGCCAGCTTGGGCAGGAAAGTCCAGGAGACTCTTAGCGCCAATAAAACCACTAGAAAACCGGAAGTGGCGCTGTGGCTCAAGTGGTAGAGCACTAGCCTTGAGCTGAAGAGCTTAGTGACAGTGCCCAGGCCCAGAGTTCAAGTCCCACGACTGAGCCCACCCCACCCCCAAATTTTTTATATATATATGTTTTACCTCTCTCCTCCATTTCATAGAAATAGCTTCATTATTTTTTTAAAAAATTAAGTAGAAAATGAACGTTAATAAAAATTCCCTGGACCGTCAAGTTAATAGCTGGAAAGATTAGGGATCTGGATTTTAAAGTGAAATCAACTTCAGTTGCCAGTTTTATTTCAATCTCTGACTACTGGTTTGCTTACATATGTTCTGTGTAGTTATTGTAATGTCCTTGCTGATGGTAGGGAAAACCCTTTCCTCATTTTGTCTTTCGTGGTACCAGGATTTGAACTTGTGCTTGCTAGGTGCCTTTTTCATGAGCCATGGAAGTATTTTTCTGCAAGTTTCTCCTTTTGGTCTACATTCTGCATGAAGCTTTATAATAGTTTCATTTTCTGGAATGCACTGACTGGATGAAATACTGGAGTTCGGTCAGTAGCTGGGTTATGTCTCAATCTCTTCCTTTAGCCCTGTATTCAAAGATAAACTATATAGCTAATTACACTAATACATATTGGATAGCTTTGTTAGTATAGAATTTTGCTGGCCTGGAGAAGATCCTGTGTATAAACACAGTATGTGGTGTCAAAATTGGAAGGTGAGATACTGAGATTTGTCTCACTTTAATAATAAGCCTAATTACAATAACTACCTTTGATTAGGGTCTTTGATGAATTATGCTTTAATTTAATGCCCTTAGCTTTTATTGATATACCATTATAGAGAAAACATTTGTTTTAGGACCACTGTAAAAGATGAGGTCTATTCTATTTTTGATATGTTTTCTGTGATATATCCCATGGGCTGAAATTACATTTTAGTTGGCATAGTGTAAAACATGTATTTGAAGACGTTATTTATTTGTTTATTTAATGTTGGTCCTGGGGCATGAACTAAGGGCTGGGGCAACTAGCATTCTACCACTTCGGCTACAACTCTACATCCAGCTCTTTGGTGGTTAATTAGAGATAAGAAGCTCATGAACTTTCCTGACTGGGCCAGGTTGGAATCAGGATTCTCAGATCTCAGCCTTCTGCATAGGATTACAGGCATGAACTACAGTAGTCGTTCTTGATGGGTTTCTATCTCTCCTCAAAAATGCTTTCTTAACTTGTCTTCTAAGCCATTAGACTGTTCACAGTATTCGTTTATACTTGTTAGTGTGTTTACTTCTCTTTTTTTACGAATCTAGTCTCTGTGTTGTTAGATGTACGTGACACCCAGAATGAGTGTAATCTTGATGATGTTGCAACTTTGGTTTGTGCAGGAAACTGAAATGTGAAGACATCTCTGATTGTTGTTCCTGGACTGCTAGTTTCAGTTTCTCTGGTTCTGCTTTTGCTTTTCTGCATCAGTCATTTCAGTGATCAGTTTTTCTGACTAAATGTCAAGTATGTGTGCATGTTTGAAACAGATTCTTTAGGCTTATGTGGTAAATTAATGTTATAAAACCCTCAATGTTTGATCACAAATTATGATTGTAATGAACAGTTGACTATTTTGTTTAAGTGTCTTCTTGAAAATGTTTCAGAGAAGGATATATAAGACAACAACTCATGTACCACCGGAATTAGGACAGATCATGGATTCTGAAACATTTGAGAAATCTCGACTGTATCAACTGGATAAAAGTACTTTCAGCTTCTGGTCAGGACTCTATTCAGAAGTCGAAGGCACTGTGAGTAGTTTACTTCTTGGACAGATAATCTCTCAAATTGTTTAATACTTTTCAATGCTTGTTTTTATTTTTGTTATTTTTCTTGTGACACAGAGTACAGTCCCAATGAATCTTAGGTTGTTTTCTTTTTCTCTTTCCTTTTTTTAAAATTTTAATTAGTGCTAGAGATCACATCAGTTACCACTGAGGTATCTCTAGCCATAACCTTTGTTATTGATAATAATATGTGTGGCATAAAATAGGCAGAAACATAACTACTTTCAGTTGAAAATGTAGACTGTGGCGATTATCACCTGAAGGCCAGGTATTAAAAAGAACCTTACATTGTGGGTTTTTTTTTTTTTTGGGCCAGTCCTGGGACTTGAACTCAGGGCCTGGGCACTGTCCCTGAGCTTTTTTTGCTCAAGGAAAGCACTATACACTTGAACCATAGTGTCACTTCCAGCTTTTTCTGTTTATGTGGTACTGAGGAATCGAACCTAGGGCTTCATGCATGCTAGACAAGCACTCTACCAGTAGGCCACATTCCTAGCCTGTATTGTTCCTTTAACAGGCCCTGACAGTTCTTCCTGCAACTACTTTGAATATCTATACCACCCTCCACTTTGCAGCCCCAAGAATATTTCTAAATCACATTTCTGATCACATTACTGCCCTGCATAAAGCCTTGCTGTAGCCTACTGTTTCTCTCGGAAACACAAATTTCTTGATACAGTTTGATTAGTCTTTTTTTGACCTGCCACAGCTTACATCTGCTTATCATTTTATTTCTTCCCCCAATGTTTTGTTTTCTTTTTATTTATTTATTTATGTCCATTGTGGGACTTGAACCTAGGGCCTGAGTGCTGTCCCTGAGTTCTTCAGCTCAAGGCTAGTGCTCTATCACTTTGAGCCACAGCAGCACTTCAGGTTTCCTGATGGAGATAAGAGTTTCATGGACTTTCCTGCCTGGGCTGGCTTTGAACCATCATCCTTGGATCTCAATTTAGGATTACAGGCGTGAGCCACCAGCGCCTGGCTCTCTGTTTTGACCATGCCATATCTAGCTTGGTTTTGTATGACAGAGTTTTTCCTCATGCAGTATCCCTGCCTTAGGTATCATGCTACCTCTTGATCATCATCATCTGATTGGAGTCTGGTTAATCCCTGTTCTTCCCTTAGAATCCAGCTGAGGAAGTAGAGCTGTTGTTTACTCCTGAATCCTTGCTACTCATTAGGCTGAGACCCAAGGATCAAAGTTTTTTTGTTAATATAATTTTATTATTATTAAAGTTTTGTATAGAAGGGTTACCATTTCGTAAATTCTTCTTCTTCTTTTTGGACAACATCCTCACTTCCCTTTACTTTCTCCCAATTTTCCACTCCCATCCCTGCCCACAAGTTATATAGGTCATTTTCCACATACTGTATACTCAATAATATGATCGCATTTGTTCACCCTCACTTTCTGCCCCCCAAAAGAAAATTAAGCAAAAACACCACAACTACCACCAATAACAACAACAAAAAAGATGTTTCCATTTCTTGGAGTTCATTTTGATAGTATTAAATGTTCAGAGGAGTTCCACCTTTGGAACCTTTGAGAGTATGAGGATCAAAGTTTGAAGCCAGCTGGGACAGGCAAAAGGCCTGGCTAAGTTTTGCCTTTAAAAATATTTTTTTTTTATTGTCTTTAAGCACTTCCTCAAAGGAGTTTTGTTCAACAAAGCAGTTTATGAGTACACTATCTTGAACAGTGTCACCTCTTTCAACATTCTCACCTGTCCCTCCCAACCCACCGCTTAGTTTTGCCTTTTGAGCCTCTTGATTTTCTTTTAAAATGAGAAGTAGATAGATACTAGATCTTGACCTTAAATGGTTTGTGGAAAGGACTCAGTGAGTAAGATAATGTAAATGAAGCACTTGATACAGAGTTCAACACAGCCAGCACTTCATCATTGGTTTCTTTGGGGGAGGTTACTTAACCCTCACCCCTTCTCTTTTTAACTTCTCTTGTATTCATTGCCTCATCGATAAAAATAATTATATTCCCTACCATGCCTGATTTTCAAGCACTGGAATTGCTTTTGTTGGGCTCACTAGTTCTTGTCTGAGAATATCCCCAGGAGTGGGCTCAGGGAGATTATTAACATAGAGAAAGTTTATAGTTCCCTAGGCTTTTGTGTTTCAGTCCCCAAAGTAAACTTAACAAGGTTTGGAACATCAGTTATATAAAAGTTGGACTTTTAATTGTGGGTGTTTTAGGCTTTCACCTAAAGCATTTTAAATCTTTAATTCTACATTATTTATTAGTATTGGGAATAGGATGAAAGAAATGCCATCACAGGTCAATTAGTTCAACAAATGCCAGTGGTGCCAAAGCATATCTTTTGGGAATAAGGTGTACTTAACATCTGAGATTATCGAGTTAATTATAGTAAAGTGGAAATGCCTGGACATTGACTTAGGGTAGTGTTTAAAAAGGTAATTTATTTAACAATTTTTTTCCAGTATTGGATTTTGAACTTGGGGCTTCATGCTTGCTAGATAGGTGCTACACCATTAAGCCATACCTTCAGTCCTCTTTTTTCCCGCTGGTTATTATTAGTTTTTTCCTTTTGCCTGTCCTGAGGCTTGAATTCAGGGCCTGGGTACTATCTCTGAGCTTCTTTTGCTCAAGGCTAGCACTCTACTACTTGAGTCACAGCACAACTTCTGGCTTTTTCTGTGTACAGGGCTTCATGCATGCTAGGCATGCACTCTACCACTAAGCTACATTCCCAGCCCCACTGGTTATTTTTTTGAGATAGCCTCTCAACTTTGTGCCTGGGCCTGAGCCTGAGCCTAGACATCAATCCTCCTAAACTGTGCTTTCTAATCTAGCTGGAATGATAAACACTCACCACCAAATCTGTAGAATCTTTCCATTGAGATAAAGTCTCTTAGACTTTTCTGCCTGGTCTGGCCCAGAAACATGATCCTCCCAATCTCAAGTCTCTAATATAGCTAGGATTACAGATTGGGGTCATGGTTGCCCATTTCTAATGTTAAGTGTTTACCAGAATCACCTGGAGACTCCTGGGCCCACTTCCAGTGTTAGTGTCTGATTTAGTAGAGTTGAGAATTTCCTTTTTATGTGTGTGTGTATCAGTCCTAGGGCTTGAACTCAGAGACTGGTTACTGTCTCTAAGCCCTTTTTTGCTCAAGGCTACCACTACCACTTGAGTCACAACTCCACTTCCAGTTGTTTTGGTGATTAATTGGAGATAAGAGTCTCATGAACTTTTCTTCCCCTGGCTGGCTTCAAACCGAGATCATAAGATCTTAGCCTCGTGAATAGCTAGGTGCCTGGCTGAGATTTTGCATTTTTGATACATACTCAGATGCTGCTGCTGCTTCTATCCAAAAACCATATTTGAGACCAGTAGTGTTAACCTAGTCTGAGGTGTGGCTCAAGTGATAGAGCACCAGCTATAAATACAAAAGCCAGTGAGACCACAAAGCCCTGGTACAGACATCAAGAAAACAAAATGAAACTAGTCCAACATATTGGTAGTTACTTTAAAATATCCTGTAAGTTGTTGTGTGCCGAAGTACACTGAGCTGCTCTCTGACTACATTTCATTATTTCACCAGTCTGTTTCCTCCCTTCACTCCCTCCCATTCCTGTCCCTTCTTGTCTCTAGTGACCTCTGTTTGGCTTTTTTTTTTTTTTTTTGGTAAGGTTAGTTGATATCACTTTCTCAAATAACTGAGAACCTTGAGTATCTTTTTAAACAGCTTAAGATATAAACCACTTACTATACCATACAATTCACTCATATATAGTGTATAGCAAAAAGGATTTAGTAGTCTAAACTTAGTGCCTAAGTGGTTTATCCATCTAAGTGCATGCCTTTTCCTAAATAAAATAGATATTTTCTTTTCCTACAGAATTGATTATTTTTTTCCTTTCCTTTAATGCCAGTCCCTCAAGACCAGTACTCTACCACTTGAGCCATATCTCCACTTCCAACTTTTTTTTGTTTTGTTTTGTTTTTTGTTTTTGGACAGTCCTAGGGCTTAGACTTAGGGCCTGGACATTGTCCCTGAGTTTCTTTTGCTTAAGGCTAGCATTTGAGCCACAGTGCCACTTCTGGCTTTTTCTGTTTGTGTGGTCCTGAGGAATCGAACCAAGGGGTTCATGCATGCTAGGCAAATATTCTACCACTAAGCCACATCCCCAGCTCCCAGCTTCTTTTTTTAAGTGATTAATTGAAGAATCTCATGGACTTCTGCACAGGCTGGCTTCAAAATACAGTCCTCAGATCTCAGCCTCCTGAGTTAGCTACTCAGGCAAGAGCCACTGGCACCCCGTTGTCCTTTTCTTTTCTATAACATGTTCTTTTCAAGGGATAATTTCTAGTACTATTCATATGTGACCACTGTGTGCTTTGTTTTATAGTTTATTCTTCTCTTTGGAGGAATCCCTTACCTCTGGAGAGTTTCTGGACAGTTCTGTGGTTATGCTGGCTTTGGACCAGAATATGAGGTAGGTGATTTATTAGCATATATTAGTCAGAGTCCCTTTCAAGAAATTTTTTTGTTGGCAGGTTTTATACTAAAGTTAGTTTTGTGTGTGTATTGGTCCTGGGGATTAGACTCAGGCCTAGACACTGTCCCTGAGCTTTTCTGCACAAGGCTAGCACTGTTATCATTTGAATCACAGCTCTACTTCCAGCTTTTTGGTGATTAATTGGAGGTAAGAGTCTCATGGACTTTCCTACCTTGGTTGATTTCAAACCACAGTCCTTAGATCTCAGCCTCCTGAGTAACTAGGATTATAGGTGTGAGCCTTCAGTGCTGGCTAAAGTTAGTTGCTGGTTTACTCATACCATCATCCAACTTCCTTCTCTGTCTGCACCATCCTTGTGTGCTGATGTACTAGAATAATGTTAATTATTTTAATAAAAGTATGTATATGACTATTCACACAGATTTAGAAAATATAATTAATGCCCTAATGATGAACGTTTAGATTGATTTAATTTTTTTTCTCCTCCCCTCCCTTTCTCTCCCTTTCCCTTTTCTTCCCTGGGTTCAGTTCCCAGTACTGAAAAAAGAAAAAGAAACTTAAAGATCTTATCCTTTGACTGCAAACATTTCATTTCTCTGAATGGAGAAGACCTTGTATTGCCCACAGGATCAAGCACATGGCTTGGGATAAAATAAGTACTAGCAATACTCAATTTGTTTCCCAGTAGTTCATTTGAAACATGAATTACATTATACCATAAAAACTGCCTTTTTACCTTCTCATGCTTAGATCACTCAGTCCCTGGTGTTTCTGCTATTGGCTACTCTTTTCAGCGCATTGACTGGATTGCCATGGAGTCTCTATAATACTTTTGTGATAGAAGAAAAGCATGGCTTCAATCATCAGGTAGAGTAAGGAATAACTTTTTTTTTTTTAACCTAATCCTTAGGCTTGAATAAGGGCCTTAGTGCTGTCCCTGAACTTCTGTGCTCAAGACTAGCACGCTACCAATTTACCAATTACCAATTTACAGCTCTACTTGTAGCTTTTTTGGGGGGTGGAGGGGGTGGCTAATTAGAAATAAGGGTTTCATAGACTTTCCTTCAAACCTCAGTCTCAAACTCTGATGTAGCTAGTGCTATAGGCATGAGCCACTGACATCTAACTTGAAATAACTTTATCATTCTGTTTATACACATTGTATTAAATATTTCTCTTAGATTAGAAATAACTTATTATTTACATATGTGTTTATGTATTTATTGCTGGTTCTGGGACTTGAACTCACACTTGGGTGCTGTTCTAACTTTCTTTTTTTTTTTGTTTTCTTTTGATTAGTCATGGGGCTTGAACTAGGCCTGGATGCTGTCCCTGAGCTCTTTTTGCTCAAGGCTAGCAGTGCTCTACCACTTTAAACCACAGTGCCACTTCTGGTTTTCTGGTGATTATTTAGAACTAATTGTCTCACCAATTTTGCTGCCTAGGCTGGCTTTGAATCATAACCCTCAGTTCTCAGCCTCCTGAATCACTAGGATTACAGAAGTGAGCCAATGGCACCACTCCTGAACTTCTTTTGATCAAGGCTAGTGCTTGAGGTACAGCTCTACTTCTGGCTTTTTTGATAATTTATTGTAAATAAGAGTCTACAACTTTTCTGCCTGGACTGGTTTTGAACCATGCTCTTTAAATCTCAGCTTCCTGAGTAGCTAAGATTACAGGAGTGAGCCACCGGCACCAGGCTAGAAATAACTTTTTTTGTTTTTGTTGGTCATGGGGCTTAAACTCAGGGCCTAGGTGCTGTCCCTGAGCTCTTCTGCTTAAGGCTAATGATATACCACTTTGAACCACAGGTACACTTCTGGTTTTCTGGTGGTTAAGTGGAGTTAAGAGTCTCACAGACTTTCCTGGGCAGGCTGGCTTTCAACCATGTTCCTCAGATCTCAGTCTCCTGAGTAGCTAGGATTACAGCTGTGAGCCACTGACACCTGGCCAGAAATAACTTTTTAATTGATGGGGTTTTTTTTGTGGTTTTATTATTTGCTGGTAATAATTTAAATATAATTTACTATTTTAGAGCATGGATTAACTGAGAAAAGGAACTTCAGATGTGATAAATATCATAGTTTAAAATCTTGCTATTCACTCTTTGAGCACTTGAGTGCTTTTGACTAATTAATTTGTTTTTTTAAACTATCAATGTTTTAGGCTGCCTGGTATTATAGTACAGTCTTACTGGATGTAATTTTTTAAATGGCTTCAATAGTACAATCTTTGGATTCACATGCTAGTCATTTTAAAAAGGAAATCAGTTCCTCAATTTACAATGGTAATATTTTCTCTTTCCAGACTTTGGAGTTTTTTATGAAAGATGCAATCAAAAAATTTATTGTGACTCAGTGTATTTTATTACCTGTGTCTTCACTTCTGCTTTACATAATTAAAATTGGGGGTGACTATTTTTTTATTTATGCCTGGCTGTTCACATTAGTTGTTTCTCTGGTGAGTAAAATCATCATTTCATTTTCTTTTACAAAGTTTGTTGGTGAGACTGAGAGGGTGGATGGAATACAGAGGGTGGATGGAATGCTCATACTCATTTACCTCTTGATTTCTGCATTTCGACCTGACCATCATCTTTCTCTTTATGCTGACTTATAGATGTTAAAAGCTGCTTTTTGGATCACTTTCAGGGATCTAGTTGCCAGGAAATTTGGCTTATGTATGTGTGAGTTTGCACCAGAATGACTGACTATATGTAACAATTTAATGTCTTGACTGACCCTCCAGGGCCTGAAAAGTATGAATATTTTGAAGAGAAAATAGATTTAAGAGGATCAAAAGAAAAAAAGCATATAATTTCCTGGCTTCCTTCTGCCTTCTTTCTCTCTGCCTTCTTATCTCCTCTCCCTTCTTTCATGTTATCACTGGGGTTTGAATTCAATGCCATCTCCTTGCTAGGTAGGTGCAGCATCACTTGAGCCATACCTCCAGCCCTTTTTTGCTTTTATTTACTTTTTTTTGCCTGGTGGTTTTTGCCCATGGCCAATTTCAGACCTTAATCCTTTTACTTGCCTCTTGGGAAGTAGAGATCAGGAGTATTACAATTCCAGTACAGCCTGGACAAAAAACAAACCCAGAGCTGGATGCTATTTCAATCAGGGTGTACAGTTATAAACTGCAGACAGTTAATTTTAGCAGAAAAATAAACCATATATGAGATAATTCTCATAAGAAGATAGTCAAGCTCTTATAATACTTGTTTAGCAAAGATTTGGTCCATCAAGATTACTTTGTAAGGCAGAATTGCATGTTATGCTTAGTTTATAGACTGCCCCAAATCCTCAAGATAGTTTTGAAATGGTTATTAATTACCACCCAGAGATCTTACTGTTAGTAGCTTTATCTTCTAAAGTAAGATTGACACGTTTACTGTCTTAGTAGGCTGATACTTTGATTTTCATTAAACAGATACCAGGCTCTTACTTTCTGGACAATTTTGGTTTGGGAATACCAGAGCAAATAAGTCTTCTGGTGGCAAGTTTTGGTGGACATAATTGTTGGAATATAATTGAATGTGTACAATAATAGGTAGCTTTTTCTTTAAGAACATATTCATAGGTTCTGTCATTTACTTTTCAGGTCCTTGTTACAATCTATGCTGATTATATTGCCCCTTTATTTGACAAGTTCACACCTCTGCCTGAGGGAAAGCTTAAACAAGAAATTGAAGTAATGGCAAAGAATATTGACTTTCCTTTGACTAAGGTATATGTTGTTGAAGGTAAGGCTACCTGGGGGTAAGGAGATTTCATTGAAGTGCTTTGTTTTGAATACTTTAGGTTTTAGAATTTAAATGAAAGAATGAATTGATTTTTATTTTTTGTTTAATTTGTTGTTTAAAAATTAGGACAGGCCTTGTGTAATCCTAGCTACTCTAGAGGCTGAGATCTGGAGGATCAAGATTTCAAGCCAGCCTGGGAAGGAAAGTCTGTGAGACTCTTACCTTCAGTTAAACACCAAGAAAGCCAGAAGTGGAGCTGTGGCTCAAGTGGTAGAGCACTAGCCTTGAGTAAAAAAGCTTAGAGATAGTGCCCAGGCTGTTTATCTTGTAAATTTCCAAAAGCTTAATATACTACCATCAGGTACTTCAGATTAGCTAACCTCTGCTTTTCTGATTATTGTTTTTGAAAGTTAAGCTATTTGCTTGTATAAGACTACTAAAGTCTCAAGGAAGCCTATAAAAAGGTAGAGAAAAACCATTTTGTAAGGTACCATTATTTCTAGAATCTGTAAATGAGGGGCTGGGAAGGTGGCTCAGTGATAGAGTGCTTGCCTTTAATGCCTGAGGCCCTGGGTTCGAATTCTCAGCACCACATAAGAAAAAAGAAAAAAGCCGGAAGTGGCACTGTGGCTCAAGTGGTAGAGTGCTAGCCTTGAGCTGAAGAGCTGA